CTGCCCCCGATCCCTGCCTGCTGAGCTCCGGGCCGCGGCCCGGCCCGCGGACTCCCGCGTTCTCCCTTGTGACATATTAATTACTGATTTCTTGGTAATTATTAATGCTTGATTCAGCACTTTGTCCTTTTAATATCTGGCCACAGGATTAATATTTGATGACTTAGATCCTGAGCTGCAGCAACATTTTTCTTCTCCCTTCTCCCCACCGGGGCCCTGCCTCCTGGTCTGCCCTCACCTGGGGGCCGGGCTCTGTCTGCAGGCCTCCCAGACTCGCCGGCACCCTCCTCCTGTCCCGGGTCCTTCCCCAGCCCTGTCCACCCTGCCTCGGCCTCTCATCGCTGCTTTTTCAGAAGCCTCCCGTCCATCCGGGTGTCTGCCCTCCTCGGGCCCTGCCTGCTGCTGGTAGCGTCCGTCACCCAGGCCAGGCCCTCCGGACCTGAGGGCCCTCTTCTGGGCACCGCTGCCTGGAGGGCCAAGGAGCTTGGAGGAGGTGCTGGTCAGTGGTCTCCCTGCTTCCCCCAGTCTCCCCTGCCTGCACTCCACCCCACCCACCTGACCAGAGGCCCCCGCCGCGGCCACCCCGCCGTCCTCCTTGTGCCCCGGGAGGCGGGGAGGCTGACGCAGAGGCATCAGAGGTTTTTGTGGGGGAGCGGGAGAGGCAGGGGGGTCAGGGTGCTCTGGAGAGATCCGTGAGCTCCTTCATCGCGTGCACACCTGCTGAGGCCACCTTGGTAGCAGGAAAGCCTGTTTGCAGGCTCAGGGTTCCCTGCTTACCGCTTGTGTGATCTGGGGCGAGTGAGTCGGGTCCCCTAGACGGATTTCCTCAGCTGTTAAACCGGGTTAATTGTCACCACTCTGCTGTCTTCTGAGGAGTGAGGGAAATAGAGCTAATAAATACGTTGACTGAACGTCTACACTGGGCTGGGGACCACTGTGAGCCCGAGTGAGAGCTGCGGGCACCGAGGGAGGGAGACGCTGGACCAGGGACTGCGTGGCGGGGCGGGGCGGGGTGGGATGGGACAGTGGGCTGGGACGGGTGGGTGTGGCCTGGGAGTGGGCGTGGTCTGGGATGTGGGCGTGGCTCGGTGCGGATATGGTGGGACTTGGTCAGGGACAGGGGACGGCTTAGGGGGTGTGGCCAGGGGCGGGGTTGGGACAGGGGTGGGTCATGGGTGTGGTGGGGAGGGACAGGGGGGGGCATGGCCAGGGACATGGGCGGGGTAGTGTGAGGCGTGGCGGGGCAGGGGCGTGGCCAGGGCAGGGGTGGGGTGGGGTGGGGCAGGGGCGTGGCCAGAGACGTGGGCGTGGTAGGGCGGGGATAGTGGGGCGTGACTGAGCAGGGGCGTGGCCAGGGCAGGGTGGGCGGGGGTGGGACAGGGGAGTGCCCAGGGACATGGGCGGGGATAGTGTGAGGCGGGGCAGGGGCGTGGCCAGGGCAGGATTGGGATGGGACAAAGGCGTGGCCAGAGACGTGGGCGTGGTAGGGCGGGGATAGTGTGGGGCGTGGCTGGGCAGGGTTGGGCAGGGCAGGGACTGGGGTCCTGGCCGGGGCAGCAGGTGTCCTCTGCTCTCCCTTCCTGCCCAGTAGGGGCTGGTCCCCTCCGGTAGGGTGAGCTCTGAGCCCCTTGTTTGTTCCATGCGCATCACTTAGGCTGCTGGGGACTGTGATTGCGTGACTTGTGACCAACGCAGCCTAGGTTGTATTTGCCATGTTGTTAAAAAGTGACCGACCACCAGAAACGGAACAGGCGGGCCGTGCATGTGTCTGTACGTGGGGGTGGTGACTTTAAGGCGCTGGCTCGCACATCCGCTGTCCGCAGGACAGGTGGCCGGCTGGAGACCCAGCAGGGGCCGCAGTTGGAGATTGCAGGCCGAGTCCCCTCTTCCTCGGGGATCCTCGGTCTTCTCTCAAGGCCTTCACCTCCCCTCGCTCACAGTCTGCTGGTTTAAATGTTACCCTCAGCTAAAAAATGACGGGAGGGAAATAGCTCAGTGGTAGAGCGCGTGCTCAGTTTAGCAGGCACGATTTAACTTAAGAAAAAAAACAATTATTACAGAAC